AGCTTGGGCTTGGACTCATGGTGGCAGTGGTTGATGGCCAAGATGTTGGCGAAAGGGCCGATTTAAGGGATATTGGCTCCCCCGAATGGCCTTCGGCGGATGAGCAGCGTCCCACCTACTCCGGAACCGTCCTGGAGAGACGGTAGGCCTAGAAGGGCACTGAGACGAGTGACAGTCCCTGCCAGGCTTAACTAATCCAGATAGCAAGGTACTGGGTGCCTTGTGTGCTGTTTGGACGTAACCCTAAGCTGTCCCTAGGGCTGTCCGGGTACTGTATAACGATAAATTTGCGCTCAGGAAAGCACCCATTACCGAAGATAACAATACTTGTTCTTTGACTCGAGTTGAAATAGACTGACTGACGAGATTTGCCTGTTGAATGTTACTGTGGAACAAGTCTAGTGTAGTAGAAGTTGAGTTGATCCTCCTGATATCGTAGAAGAAGTGAAGTTCATTCTTATGTGATTACGAGGGAAAACTCGGTGTGGGTGTGTCTTTTGAACTGAGGACGTGGATTCGTTGTTCACACTTTTCGATAGAAAAGTGAGGGTAACGATCCGCGATGCCCATTGATTATAGCCAACGTTAATAGATGAAAATTGAAGGAGGAAGCCTCCTACGGATGTGGCTTGAGGGTGACCTTGTTCATGGGAAAAACCGGCTTTTCCGTTAGACAAATATCCACCTTTTCCGTTAGGTAACTACCCGCTTTCTCCGTAATTTGTAAGAACATGCAATAAACCTAAGGAATATTTTAAGTACCAGCTATGAACCGAAAAAACTTGCAGGATTAAAGGTTCCTGCAAACTAATAAGATTCAATTTATGGTGGGGCCTTAGGTTTATTGAGAGTCTGTATAATGGTACTTGGGCCTTGACGGTCAGACAATGAAGGACACACTAAATTCAGCTTTAAATAAACTTATGCCAATAAACTGCGCCACGCCAGAGAAACTCACTCAAAATTCTCAACGCGAGAATTGATTGTAATGTAAATAAATGTACTTGTAAATAAAGAAAAAAAAATTTTTTTTCCTGCTGTAGGCTACTCTGATTGTAATGTGGTAGTTAATGTTTCCGCTGCAATTTCAATATCTTGTTTATTTTTTAGAGGTATATTACAATTCAGGTTATTGACTATTATTTCTTTATAGGTTGCCCAATCCGTTGTGTTATTTGTTAGTATTTTTTATTCACCTTTTTCTTCTTTTTCTTTTTATGGAGGAAACCTTCATAGGCGCCTCGCGTTCTCTGGGTGGAGGACGCAGGTTAATGCCGGATTCTTACCGGCTAAAACCTCCACAATAGCCGTCCCGTGTGCATATGGAGGGGGCCCTAGAGCTGCAAAAGCATCCATCATGGGCTCCCAGCGCTTACACGTCCACAAGTATTCTCATCTTTGGTTTCGGGTTCTTTCCAAAGCGTAGTTTTATCGCTATACAGTACCCAGGCCATAGGAGTTGGGGTTACGTCCAACCAGCGCGCAAGGCACCCAGTGCCTTACTACCTCGATTAGCTAAGCCTGCAGGGGCTGTCGCTCGTCTCAGGTCGAACGGGGCACATTCTAAGCCTTTCCATCTCTCCAGGACGGTTCCGGAGCAGGTGGGACACTGCTTACCCGCCGAAGGCCATTCGGAGCGTGCCAATACCCCTTAAATCGGCCCTCTTGCCAGCCTCTTGGCCATCAACCACTGCCACCACGAGTCCAAACCCATAATTGGTCGAGCAGAGGGTCGCTACTCCCTCCGGGTTTACACTCGACCCCCGTGGTACCATCCTAAGTCATTGGTGGGACTATCGTGTGAATGTACGGCCACGTCACTGCCGGCCGGTGACTTGCTAACCGTGCTCGGCAGTTCCAGATGGGACTCACGTAAGCGGGGGCCTCAAGGTACAAAGTGCCCGGGAACTTATCCCAACGGTCCCATTCTTGGCATCAGGATCGTGGGTGCACTACTACCCAAGGCCACGTAGAAAGAGTGTAACCGTACTTAAACGCCTTACACTCCCGGCGACCTTCCCTGTGGTGTACATAGAGGACTCACGTAAGCGGGACGCTTGTCCCGACGGTTGTCTCTGGCTGCGGAAACGTGTGTTTGCCAACCCCCATAGACTTACATAAGCAAGCCCTGCGGGAACTTACACGTCCACAGACGGGGGAAGGCAGTAGCCCCCTTCTCCATCTCTGCCCCATGGATGGATGGTGGGGGAGGATGAACACCACTCCCCTATCCGCCGCCGCGCGGATTACGACACGGTATGCGGCCATCCCACATCGCGCCCCGTTGAGGAAATATTAGGTTGGTATGATCACTAGTTCCTACATGTTAAGTTGGTACGACTTCTAACGACACTCCTTTGTCTTTTGGCATCGACCACGTGTTAATTATCTGAGTGTATGCGGTATGTTCATATGGCTGTACATGGTGGTGAAATACAGAACGTAAAAAATGAATCTGTGTGAATCAATAAATATCAAACTCCAAAAACCTTTTCAATAACACGCCCCGTCACCGGCGCTGCCATGCGACGTCGGCTGGTCCCCCAGCTAGACGGCAGTAGTCCCACGGCGTCGAATCACCCAGTGCCCTGGACACTTTTTTTCATCTGTTGGTGCTTCTTGTTCTAATTCGAAGATTGTAGATTGGAGCTCGAGCAATTCTTTCGCTTTAATATGTAAGTTTGTGTTAGTAATTGCTATGTCCAATAAATCCGGTGTTTTATTTGTATCCATTGGCTAGTACAAAGATCTGCCTGATTAAGTCCTACGAGCTTGCTGAATGTTTCTATTAATGGATCAATGTTAGGAGCTTCTATGAAAATAGAACTAGTGTTTAACCGCTGAAGTATTAGCTCCTTGTACTTCTCATTATTTAAATTTTGCAATACTTGGTATCTGTTTGATGGTTGCTGGTGTTCTAGCCACTTGGGATTATATTTTACATTAAATAATCTTATTTCCGTATTTGCATTTTCCGAATCAGTAGTTGTTCTTTTTTTCCTTGTTTGTTTAACTAATTTCCATTACGTATTGACGGTATTTTCCGTTTCGATGTCCTCACCCAACGTGTTTGTAGAGCATAGAGTCCATAAGTTATGATTGTTTATTTGTCATTATTGGCGGTTGTTCGAAGAACATCGTTCTGCACTTTATGTGCACTATATTTTCTACCCAATATACACCGAGTAGTTAAGCAATTATCCGAGAAAATTATTTGAACTCGTCTGTTCGTTTTGCATTGCGTCACAGTTTCATAGATATGAAACGGTTTAAAATGATGAAAATCGCAGTTTCCTACGATTTTCTGTAAGAAAATGTGAAGTTTGAACATCCAGGACGATCGCCTGGCCCTTGCCACCCTCGGCAGGCCAGTGAAAGAATGAAGAATCGGAAATGATGAAATTCAGGCTACCGCTCCATAGCGTATCGTGTTTTCTTACAAATACATACATAATTTCAATCAGCAAATTTTTTTTCTGCAAGTGGGTCGCAACGAGCTCACAGTCGTATGAAAGTATGCACTACTAAATGATACAAAATTTAATATACTTAGACTTAACTAATTAGTATGTAAGTGCTATGAACAAAAACATTTTAAAAACCAACATTCAAATGATATTTTGTCTATAACTGTTTTTAAGGATCTATTAATAACTGTCTATCTGCTTTATCCTCACCACTGGGGTGGTTCCGCTTTGAACTCGTCATGAGTACATGAACAGTGTCACGAGTAATGTGACGCAACAGCGGCTTTTCTTTCAAGACCTATATCGCCTTTCTACATAGAGACAATGCTAATGTAACAATGAAATTTTTTATTTTTTATCTTTTGTTAATAAAAAATTCATTAACATATTGGTGAGACTTCTCCGATTGAAATGAGACCAAATATGATATTGTTATAAAATTTGGTTATGTTGTGCTGACATTGTGCTTATGAAGCTTCCTTGGTTGTACTTGTTGCTGTGCAATATCCAGCTGCCTCTTAACTGTTAGGATATAGGCTGAAGAGCTAGCCCTAAGGCCCAAACCTTACACTTGTTTAATGGGCGATACAAATAGACACGAATACGATATACACCCGTAGCACACTAACACTTTGTCCTTTCTCTCTTTTTCTTTTTTTCTTGCGCCATTACATGTTATTATCTTTAATGCTAAAAGTATGTAAACAAACGGCAGTCGCTGGCTAGCTCAGAAGGAGAGGTATTGCTCATCAGCTATTTATTAAACACCTCTTGTTAACTTATCAATCTTAATACGTATAATCTTGATAATTTCAACTATAGATTGAAAATTGAAGAATTAATAAGTTTTACTAAGAAAAAATAAAAATCGTGGATTACAAATTAGTCATGACGTTAAATCTGATCTGCAGTTAATTTTTTCGTCCATTTTTATTGTTTTTGTAAACGAATACATTACGTATGGCAAAACAGAAACATCACGTTAGAAATATTATTTGCAGCTTATCAACTACTAAAATTACTATTAAAATGAAATTTAAATTTTATTATAACAAAAACATTATCGAAAGGAAAATAAATTTAACATTAAATCTACAAGATTATTATGCATAGAGAATATATCAAAATTATTGCATCCATTAACATTCCACTGATCCATTATCCACTGAAGGAACTTCGTTTAATTATTCCGCGATTTTGTTATTCTTATAGTTGTGTTTATCTCAGATAAAAAGGTATGAACTTTTCGACCGAACTATACAATAAAATAGACTCTTGTAGCATAGAGTCACAACGAGTAATACCTCGTTTATGATGGAGCTACATAGGTTTTAGCGCGAAACAACTTCAGTACTTGCCCATTGGAAGCAGCACTAATCCGGGAACAACCAGAACCGTAAATGTGAGTACTCTCACTTCCTCTCTGACAGAACTATGTAAGAAATTCAAAACATAAATTGAGCATTATCGATAATACAGTTTGTACACCGAAAAACGTTATTCGATATGAACTCTATATCATATATTATTTATGATGTTACCACTGACTTGCACTGCTTATACATGTGAAACGTCAAGGCACATTTCAATGACTTTATGAACCCAATGAATATATACATATTATGCTGTGAATTCATCTAGCGTGACTTTTGGTTTCCATAAAGACTTGAATTTCATATAACTAAGTAATAATGGTAAGAAATAATACAAACATTAATTATTTTATACACATTAGATACAATTTATAATATTTTAAATATATATTTTCGAAAAACATTTGTTTCATAATGAGGTAATGTTGTAAGGTAATGTTGTTATGAAAGATATTTGTAAATATCTTTTACAACTTTACCTCATTATGAAACGAGTTTGAACTAATGAAGAAAGTACAAATTTTCATTGCTTGATTCAATATAATAATATTAAAATAATATGTTTCAGAGTTTTGGTTTACCACCACTTGTTCCAAAACCTACTGTAAACGATCAGTTCAATGTTCATGATGACAATTATGGTATACCTAATCCAATGGTTTCAGGGTACGACTAAATTATTACACAATTTTATTAACAGTTGAATTTCTAACATTTAATATCAATCATATTATTATTTCTTGTTAGATTAACAGCATCTAGGCAGCACATAGGTTATGCACATCCATTGGAAGCATCTGAGAGAAGTGTAAAAAAAAAATAATTTTATTTATTGGAGTAACAATTGAAAATCATAGAGAAAGAACAGAACTGTCATTTTTTTTATTTCATTGCCACTTTATGACTAGAAAGGGATATTTTAAAATAAATTAATAAAATACATTGTTAAAAATGGGAAGAGTTTGTTAGATCCAAAGATATAGTCAATGATGTTTCTTAGAAGCTAAAAATATAACTATTAATACTTAGCCAACCGTACGCGCCACAGTGAACCATACGTTTCTCAATGTAATAGACAAGCCAACCTATACACTGTCCACTGCATATTTTTCCAAGTATTGAGGACTAATGTTCACTACTTAAAAAACAAAGAAGTCTAAAAATTATTTAAGTGGTCAATTATATTCTGCGGTAATGATTTTGTTTAACGATTTTACATATTGTTTATACAAAACATCAAATTAAAAATACATATTAAAAGTATAAAAAAATATAAGTAAAATTAAAAACAAAAATGACTAAAGATAAATAACATAACTTGAATGTGAAATTAAAAATTCATAATGTATTTTAATACTTTTTAAAGCGTGGTATCGTTCAATTATAACTTTATTTAGTCATAACTGATAGTATACCTTTCTAATTAATTTTAACACCATTAAATTGGTGTATTTTATTATGTACTGTACTTTATATAAGCGGAAAAAGTGGCGCAATTAATTGAGAATAGTTCCAGGTAAACAATAGCTGATAATAACAAAAAAAAGGAGGGGCAAACACGTTACTAAATTCAAAAAAGATCTCCTGTTCGATCATGCAGCGATGTATTTCACAGAGGGGAGAACTCAATATCTTGTTGGCCAAGTGTTAAAACAAATAATATTTTTATATTGTGGTAAACAATATTTTTAAAATTATAGAAAGTGGGAAAGAAATATATTTTTCTAAATATATATATAATTTCAAAATTAAATAAAAGAATAATTTTTATAATATAAGAATAATTGATAAGATACTCCATTTTAAACTGCTTCTCTGTAAAGAATGAGAATTGTGACTTATTGTCTTCTCTTGTGATTTTCAATTATTTGTACAAAAATTTGTAATATATATTATATATGTGTATATTTTTTAGTATGAGAAAAATCGTACTCGCATGAACATGGTGTTATTAAGAAACACACAAGGATTACATGCTCCAATGCGTCTAGCAATGGAATTAAAAGCTACTGAAAAAATTGGAAGACTTCCATTTCTTCCATCATCACACATGATGAAAGATGTGTTACTTGGAAAGGATGAAGAAATAGGGTAAATTAATTAATATATATCATCTATCTAAATTAAATAATTTATTAGGTAGAGAAATTAATTTGATATCTTTACATTGAGCCAACTACAGATCTGTTTGAAACCCAACATTTTCCTCTATTTTTGGATTTTAAACTATCAATTTTAACCATGAATTGACAAAACAAGTAACATAATAGTAATACTCAAATGTAATAAGAACTCGTGCAACTTAATTAAATAAATTAAAATTGGTCCAAAAGTAACAAAGATAAATAAATGCTAAATCATAAATATCTGATAGCCTTATACAAAAGAGACATTGAATTAATTTCTATATCTAATATAATTAGATTGTATAAATTTATGCATTTATGTGAAATTTAAAGCTATAAAAATAAACAGAATGCATATAAGGTAGAATAAAAAGAGTAGAACACTCATTGGAATTTTTAGTAAGTAAAACAATTTTGTATTTAGGTTCCCCTTCATTATATTCATAAAAATATGTATTTACATAAATATTCCGTCTATTTATAATTATACATGTATCCTCAGGACATTAGTTTATAATTTCTGAAACGTTGATTAATATAAATATTAAGATTTTAATAACTTTTTATACATTTAGGTTTGAAGACATATTAAACATACCTGAATTTAAAGAACAAATGGGGCAACCACATGCTGTTGTTGAAAAAAGTCTTGGAATATTATAAACACGGATATTTCTATTTCTAATGAGTTTGGCTTTGTATTATTGAATATCTTAAGTAACAATAAATGTTTGGTTCTTATAATTAGGTAATTTATTTTAAATAGCTAGATTTATTTAAGTGAAAAATTAAATTTCATTACATATATATCTAACCATATGAGATGATTTATCCTGCTATTACATATTTTCTTAACTTCTTGAATTCCAACACGTAATTCGTTATCTTTCGTATCTTGCAAACGCGTTTGAATTGATGTAAGAATTGTTTACACTTTATTTTCTTGCATATGTATTACAAAAGGAATATGAAACTTTTTCTTGTATCTGAAATAGTAAATACACATATAACTCTACATTTCATAATCCTTTATTCGCAATAAAATTATATGATTAAACTATAATTTTTTTTAATTTACTCACAAATTATTGTATCTAATAATTGTTTTTCTTGCTTTCACATAGATTCGAGTTCAGGATTTTGTTTATGATTGTTCAGAATGTGATTCTGCAGTAAAAAATTATTAAAGCTGTATTAAAGCTGGATGTCTAAGCAATACATTTTCCTTTTTTAAAAATAAATGACATAAATACTTGCATATGCAATATATTAATCACCAAATAATATTTATTTTATTACATAAACAGAAATTCATGTCATAAAATTATGAAATTAAAATTACATAATAATAATTATTATTGTACATTGTCTTTACCAGAAGTATCCAATTTATCTAAATATCCATAAAAATATCTTTTAGTATTTTTAACTGATGCAAATGATCTCGTATGTGCTACATATTGTGCAATATCTGGGTAATGTTCAACAACATTTCTAAAAAGCCATTTAAATTGTTTAGAAGTCAAAACATTTACTTCTGATATATTTAAAATCCCATCTTTTTTTCTTTTTTTTTTTTTTAATGTGAACGAAATGCACACAAACACCACCCTTTCCGCCCCCCTCCCTAATGGAGCGGTGTGCGGCCATGTCACACCGCACCTTATCGCCGGAGCCGCCGTGCCAGGCAGTCCGGTTCCCCTATCGGACTGCTTGGCGGCCCTGAGTCACTTAAAATTCCACATATCTAATACACAAACTGTATAATTTAAAAGTTTACATGCATTAAAACTTAACTGAAGTTTCACCATTCATAATAAATATTATATATACAACTAGAAATATATTAACATTTAAAACATTGTTATTTTTTTTCAAATGTATATTTTTTAATAAAAATTGTATAATTCTAACTATATATATGCAATAAAATAATTGAAAAATGATAAGTTTTATAGTGAGGATACTTACCACTGATACCGTTCTGTTTCTTTCTTGAGATATAAACTTCTTCAAACTTCATTGGAGAGAAGCATGCACGAAGTTCAAAAGATTATCAGTAATTAATTTCACGCACTTGAAACAAAATTTTTTAAATAAATCACGATTATTTTTCAGGGTATAAATATTTATTTCTGACAATTTATATATCAGTAACATTAACAACAATAACAATTTCCAACTATAAATATAAATTACGTTTCGTTAAAAATATAAAATAATCTTCGATATGTTATCGAACTATTAACGCTCAACTATGTTCCATTATTGGCAAATCAAATTCAAGGTTACAGATAAAGAGAGATTTACATATGTATTAAATAAAATAAATATGGCATAATTCGTTATATAAATACATAAATGCATTTAAATATAGTTTTTAAATTATTAATTATTCTCTTATATACTATAAAATATTCAAAATTTACTTAATTACACCTGAATGTCTAAATACAATATAAATGCAATAGTTTAAAGAACGATAATGATTTTGAAAATCTATTATATTTAATCGAATGTAGGTTTTAAAAATTTAATAGTATTCGAAAAATATAAAAATTTTAATAAATATGAGTAAATGTATTTGAAGCAATGATCTTTTGAATTGATTGAATTGATTTTTAAATATTATGTGTTTAAATATATAAATCTCTTATTTAAATATTATGATTTAAAATATTAAACAAATAAAGTTTAAATTATTCACGATAAGAACTTTAGAAATGTATTATATTTAATCGAATGTATATTTCAGAAACATAATAATTTTCGAAATATTATAAATATCTAGATTTAATTACAAACAAAAGTATATTTGAGACAATATATGTTTTATTTACAATATATTTAAATATTGTAATCCAACGTAAAACTCAAATTATTCAAGTTACAATGTTTTTCATAGAATACTAACTGATTTGTATTACAAATCATTACTTAAAATTTAAAATTTGTAAGAAATCATATATCGATCATTTTACACGCGATGAAATTGTTATATGTGTTACATGTTATATGCGATCGATGTAGGTATGTAATAAATTTGGTAATAATTAGAATTAATTTCCTTACAACGTTATTTTGTGATAATAGATTTTGTTTACTCCTTGTTTTAAATAACCTGGCATAAAACCACAGTTTATCCAAAGAAAAATAAATATTCAGCACTACGACAGACATGAAAGGTTATCGCAATTAAATTACAGAATTATCAAATAGCCAGTATAGTTCAACTCCGTATCCGATTGTGAGATACTTTTACTTTATTAAATACTATTAAATATTAAATTAATTTGAAATTAATCACAATATCATCATTTCATTATCAGGTTCATTATTTAAATTTTTAATAGAAATATATGATAACCTTCGTATTACACAAGACATAATTTCATTTAATATTGAAAAATATGGATATTAAGATTTTGGACGGTGGATTTAGTTCACAATTATCCACTCATATTGGTGCAAAAATTGATGGCGATCCTCTGTGGACAGCAAGATTTTTAGCGACAAATCCCAATGCAGTTTATGCTACGCATTTGGATTTTCTACGAGCAGGTGCAGATATTATTGAAACAAGTACATATCAAGCTTCAGTTCCTGATTTAATGAAATATTTATCTGTAACTGAAGAGGAAGGTATAAAATTATTACACAAAGCTGCAAATCTTGCTAAAAATGCAGTGAATGATTATATTAAAGAAATTATAGACAACAATGATATTGAAAATAAGAATCCTATCATTGCTGGCTCCTGTGGACCTTATGGAGCTAGCCTACACGATGGTTCTGAATATAATGGAACTTATGGTAAAACAACACCTCGTGATACCATCATTGAATGGCACAAATCACGTATAAATGCTCTTGTAGATGCTGATATAAATTTATTAGCACTAGAAACTATACCTTGCTGTCAGGAAGCAGAAGCATTAATTGAACTTTTAAGAGAATATCCAAACATTAAGGCATGGCTTTCATTTTCTTGCAAAAAAGACAGTCAAAACATAGTAGATGGGAGTAATTTCCAAGAAATTGCTTTACGTTGCTATAAAACGGCATTACCAGGACAAATAGTTGCCATTGGTGTAAATTGCATTGCTCCAGAAAACGTAACTCCTTTACTAAAAAATATCAATACAGGGCCAGCAAATGAGTTTATACCATTAATCGCATATCCTAATAGCGGTGAAATCTATTTACAAAGTGAAGGCTGGATAAAAAATGGAAATTCTGCTTCATTTGAAAATTTTATTCCTGAATGGCTAGAACTTGGAATACGTTATCTTGGAGGTTGTTGCAGAATGTATGCAGAAGATATAAAATCAATTAGAAAAGAAGTAAACAATTTCAAGAGGAAAAGGGAGTCATAATGGATTAACTGTTTTATTTAATCAATTATTTTAAATACGTCATTATGTTAAATCAATTATTTTTTTCCTGTTTATTTTAAGTAAAGTTTTGTGACCTATATATTAAATATTTAGAAAATATATGTATGTTTCTATATAATCTTATATTTTGACTAATATATCTTAACAAAATATATCAAAATTAATAACATCTATATATACAGGATAGTTGGTAGTACAAGCGGAAAGGGGGTGATTCTACGCGAAAAAAGAAGTCGAAGATATAGAATAAACTTTATTTTTAATTTTCTTTTTTAATTTTTCCATCGAGACAACGATCTACAGTGGGATCCGTTATAACGTACCGTACGCGTACCGAGCGAAAATTCAAAGTCGATTTTCTCGAAAACAAAGCCTCAAACGAAAAATTTTTATTCTATATTTTCGACTTCTTTTTTCGCGTAGAATCACCCCCTTTCCGCTTGTACCACCAGTTACCAACCACCCTGTATATATATTACGATTAATAATTTTCAGTTAATATTATTTGCTGCTAAGGGAGGAAAATATATATATATTTTTCATATATTCATTGCACATACATATATATTGTTATATTTTTTTTGTCATAAAACAAACTGTGTATTAGTCTCGTTTATTTGTTGTGTACTGCATTACAATAATATGAAAACACTATAAAAACCTAAATTCAACACTATTAGTAATGATAATAAAAAAACAACTTCCAATTTCTGTAACAAAAAATATCAATTAATGTTGATTATCAGTTAACGCTTATCGCATCAATGTAATTTGCTAAATTTAAAAGTGTTAGGCATACATATGATAGATATCATAACACGTAGTTTATCGTAACATACGTAAACACGTGACTAAATCTGATCTTAATGTAAAAATTGTACAGTGTAGGTACAAGAAGAAAATCAACGGTTTTTGGAACAATTATATTTAAGCTTTTGTTCATGTTAATATTTATCTCACTGATTCGTTATGGACTTTGGAATAAGTATATTTCATAAAGCCAATTGTAGAAATTATTGCCTCAGATTCGCAAACACATCTAAACGGCCAAGACGTGCGTGAAATAATAAAAGTTGGTTTTCTCGATGTTGCAATCGCATTACTATTACACAAAATTATAGTTATATTTAAAATGTTTAAAACTGAAAAATAATTTTATATTTTTACTCGTGAATAGATATCCTTGATATTAAAAATATTTGATAACAATTTTAAAAGAGAATCATGCAAGAAGTGAAGGTGTTAGATGGTGGATTTTCTACACAATTAGCAACTCATGTTGGTGATATAATAGATGGTGATCCTTTATGGACTGCACGATTTCTTGTTACGAATCCTAATGCAGTTATTTCTACGCATTTGGATTTTTTAAAAGCTGGAGCGGACATAATTCAGACAAATACTTATCAAACATCTGTTGATGGTTTTTCAAAGTATATGAACCTTTCAGAAGAGGAAGGTCTTAATTTGTTTTCTAAAGCTGTAGATTATGCTAAGGAAGCTATAAATTTATACAAAGAAGAGATAAAAAATAAAAGAAATGTTATAAATGCAAATCCACTAATTGCTGGATCAGTTGGGCCTTATGGAGCTTGTTTGCATGATGCTTCAGAATATACTGGAAAATATTGCTCAACTGTGTCAGAAGAAATTCTTATGAATTGGCACAGACCACGTATTCAAAAATTAATAGAAAGTGGCGTTGATATGTTAGCTATAGAAACAATTCCATGCAAGCAAGAAGCAAAAGCATTGGTTAAATTATTGACAGAGTTTCCAAATAGTAAAGCTTGGTTGTCTTTCTCGTGTAGCTACGATGGAAAGAGCATAGCAGATGGCTCTCATTTTCAAGATATAGCACTATGGTGTTACAAGGAAGCCTTGCCAGGACAAATTTTAGCAATTGGAGTTAATTGTATCGCACCACAAAATGTAACTTCTTTATTAAAGGGAATAAATGAAAATTGCAAACAAGACTTTATACCACTGGTAGTATATCCTAATAGTGGTGAAAAGTATACAGTAAAACAGGGTTGGGTGAAAAAAGGAGAAGGATATTGTTTACAGGAATTTATACATGAATGGCTCGATTTAGGTGTTCGATACATAGGTGGATGTTGTAGAACAAATGCTGTAGATGTGAAGAAAATACGAGCAGAGGTAGAAAAATGGAAAAGTAATTAAATGTTGAAATTCTATTATATATATTGCACATTTACGCTACAGGATAAAAATAAATCCTTAAGAATATGAGCAGAAGATTTATTAAAATATTTTTATACATATTTATAATTAATATAAAATATTTCTCCTATAATCATTTATGGATTACATTTTATATTAGATATATTTTAAGAAACTTTCATTTTTAAATGTAAAAATATATATGTATAAATAAATTATATAAGATTTTATAAATTATATAATATATATATATTTAATGATCAAGCCTAATAATATAATTAATAAAATTTAAAGGTTTTTAAATATTCTTTATAATCAAAGCTCAAACAAAGAATATGTCAAAACTATTTATTAAACATGTAAAAAATTGGTTACAGAACAGTATAAGTTTCTTATCTATCAAAATACATTCAATTTATTAATATAAATTATATATTATTTATATCATATTAAAAAAATTCACTTTTCATGTATGAAAAAATATTTAAACAAAACAAATACATACTTCAATATTGAACGTTTCACAATATTGACATTATTACAAACAGTTATACGTAATGTGAATATCTATATATTAATTCTCCAAAGACTGGAAAATATAGACCAATTCATTACCTATATAATATAAACTTCCTTCTACATTTACATTTACATTTTTGTTTTCTATATCAACATTAAATACACAATTGGGTGGAATATGAGTTTTACCTTTTAATATATTACCGGTCCTAGTCTTTATCCTCGGTCCCATGAGAGGATCATTATAGCGATACAGAGAAACTGACGATGGATCTGAAAAGAAATAGACAATTTAGTGAATAATGTAGGTTAGGTCAAATCAATTTGATTTATGCATACTCTTTATAATTTTGTTTTCTTTTAACAATCGTGATATTATATCCTCTATAGTGTCTCCATCTGCTATTATAATGTCCGTTCTAAATAAACCACTGTACTTCTGTGGATTTATGATGCATACTGACACTCCTTGCTTAGTAGAAAAATTCATGTAAGGTGCACCTGGACAACATTCTTCCTTCGTTTTTTCTGGAGCTTCATCCGTATACTTTATCATGATATCCTCTAGCTAGATGTGAATAGAAAATTATTAAACCTAATAAGAAATATTAAAAAGAATATAATACTTACATCTAATGTATTTTGAAGATATTTTTTGTTATCTTGGAGAATCTTAAACTCGTCAAAATCTAACGTTAAATTCAATGCACTTAATCCGACAAGTTGCATTTTCTCTTTCATAACTTGTACAAATGGCATTATCCGTTTCGTATGTTTTTTTAATTCCTGTAGTTTTCCCAATTCTGTTGCAATAATTTTATTTTCTGGTAGTTTATTGTCATTTTTCTGAAAAATAATTTCGCATAAAATATTTTAGTATAAACACATAAATTAATTATATTCATAATATTCACATATGGTATGAACAAATGAGTAGATTAGAGCTTAACGATTAGTAACTTAGAAAAAGATAATTAAAGCGGGTGAGAGTGCGATTAGTAAACATAGGAAATAAGAGAAAAAATACTAAGTTGGAAATATGTCCTAAGCGATAGGCGAGAATTATATATAATAATAAAATATTTCGAATATTCTATTATATATTACTTACAAGATATAAGTCTTTCATTGTAGATAAAATAGTACTTTGCCAAGGAGGATACGTTTTAGCTACCCAAATAGTACCTTGATTAGGTTTCTCTATAACTGATGTTTCATTTTTTCTCTTAGCTGCTTTCTTTGGCATTAAATAATTTTTTAAGAGAATCCTAAATGAATGAGCAGCGTCCATAAGATATTGTGATGATTTTATAAGAACTTCATCTATTTCGCCTACTTGGGGCCATTTGGCATTTAATATACTACCTTCCTGTAAAAATGATATTTCATTACTTTTAACATTAATAAGTTCATTATTGAATTTTATTTATTTCATTTAAATTTGTTGTAGTCATTGCTTAGAAGTTGTATTAAGTAGAAAAAACTTACTTTACCAATTAGAGACCACACATGTTCTGCTACATGTGGACAAATTGGAGACAAGAGAATAATTTGAAGTTCTATGAATTTCATAATTAATGTCCAACTAATGCCATCTAGAGAACTCAATTGTAAATATTTATCTCTTGCTGCTTGTAATTCAAAGAATCCTGTTCTTAGTGCTTCTTTGTATAACATTTTCGAATAATTTTCTCCAGTTTCTTGTATCTTCAGGTTCATTTCACTGACAATTGTGAGCTTAATATAGATTTTATAAATTTTTCAAAATGAGACTTTATAAATATTTTCATAAGTACCTTTCGAAAACTTTGTCATTAAATGTAGATGATTGTCTTTGTTTATAGGTATCTTTCGAATCCAATACTTCTTTAACCCATTCAATAAAATTATATAATCTAAGAATTCCAGCATCAGCCATGTTTTCTACGAAATTAGCATCTTCTACTGAATCGCCAGCATCGGCTAGACAAAGTCGCATACCATCTGCAGAAAACTTCTCTACAGCTTCAGTAAGTGTCAAGAAGTTACCCTCTGATTTAGACATCTAAGAAAATTACTTGTTATTTTCTCAAGTAATTGTGAGATGTATTAAGAAAATCATATTTCTTACCTTTGCTGAATTTAAGAGGAGATGACCATTTGCTCTGATACCTTTTGGCCATAACTCAGATTGTTTAGGCCAGATTGCAATATGATTATAAATGAAGAACGTTAGATGATTTTGTACTAAATCTTTCCCAGATACTCGTAAATCTACTGGATACCAATAATGAAATTCACGTCGCATATGATCTAATGCCTCTTTCTTTATATCTGTTTTTGGAAACTTTACATCTTTGAAAAATATATAATCCCATACTTCGGATGTCATTTCATTAGCCCTATAAAAAAATAATTC